ACAAAAAGAAGATGAGATATTACCGGGGAATAACAGTTAATCCCGACTCTTTAAAATTACCCCGAGAGGTCGCCATTCTGATCAAATATGAAAGCTCTTCACTGCAAATAAGAAAAAGATGGGGGTTTAATGGGTCACCCTGCCTAAGTCTCGATATAAAGTGCTCCCCTACCATTCCATTTATAATAACAGAATAGGTTACCGAGCAAACACAGCATTTGAGGATTTCAATCCAAGAAGGGGAGAACCCCATTTTTGACATAACTGCCCAAATAAAGTCCCAGTCCACTCTGCCATATGCCTTGTTCATATCCAACTTTAGAGCAAAATAGCCACTTTTACCAGACCTTTTCTGTATAAACGAATGTAATAATTCATAAGCAGTTATAATGTTATTTGTGATCATGCGACCCGGGACAAAAGCGTTTTGGGCTTCATCAATGCAAGTATTTAGGCAAGACTGCATTCTGTTCATCAGCATCTTCGATACTGTTTTGAAAATTACATTGCACAGACTTATAGGTCTGAATTGCTCGAGTGTTCTCGGGGTTTCCACCTTCGGTATTAGTACTATGAGGGTGTGTTTAACGGACTCCATATCTGCTCGGCCGTGGAGTAAATCTAAACAAAAAGCAATTACCTCAGGATCGATAACATGCCAAAACCTTTGATAGAAAAAAGCACCAAGGTCATCTTCTCCCGAGGCCTTCAAAGGGCACATTGATTTCACGGCGCTGGTGACATCCTCCATAGTGAAATCCGTGAGCAAAGTGGAGTTCATGTCTGAAGTAACACAGCCAGGAATACCGTTCAATAAATCTTCATTGATCATAGGTGATGTGGTAGTAAATAGTTCTTTGAAATAACCTCTCGCTACCTCCTCCATCGTCGTCTCAGAGTCAACTACCATCTTCTTTTTCTAGTGAAGATATTTTTTTCTATGTTTCCTGACAGAAGCATACCGGTGGAAAAAAGCAGTGTTGTTTTCTCCATTATTCAACCAGTTGGCACGGGCTCGCTGCTCCCAGTACCTGTTTATTCGCTTCCAAATTTAGTTATAATTTTGATTCAACAATGTCACCCAAAGTCCCATCGGTGGGAGATAATTCGGTAAAGCGGGTCAACTTTCTTTGAAGGTCTCTCGATGTCAAACACTTTGAGTGACATATCTCTTGAACCATTGATCCAATCCATGACTAACTGAGCTTAGTTTTTCTAAAACAGAGCCTTATCGGCTTTTTATACTGAAACTTTGCATAAACCGACGATTCTTCTGGTGTTGCAATCTTTTTCCTCCGTTTAAGGGCCTTTCGAACATCCAACCTTACTCGCATTCGAATGCAACCCCTGTATCCCAACGAGACAGCAGCAACATCATATTCCACGAAAGTCCCTAAAAATCACCCAGTTGTTTCGCTACCTATTCTGATATAAAACCCACCGGTAGATCGCTTACAAGAACCCAGAAATCAGCATTCAACGACACCAACATCGGATTTTCACCCTTCTCGATACAATGAAAGACTAACATATGCGAATTGAAGTACCATGGTCCTTCTGAAACAATACGGTTAAAGTCTACCTCATTATAACCGAAAAAGATACATGCTTTCTCCCAGATCGGTGATCGAGATACCCTCGATAGGGTGCCATACGTTTGCCAGGGTTGTTCTCATCGCAAGGAAATTGATTTGGCTGGTCGTGAGAAACCGACCGACAAAACAATAATCATAAGAGATTTGAATCACAGAAGTCGGACGCTCCAAAAGTAGAATCTCGCCTTCTTCCTCGCCCAAATTTAAATCCTCCAAATCTTTCTCTGTATCTCCCATAATAGCAACTGATTACTGTTTGATGGTGATAAAACTAGCAAAACTAGAAAAAAAAAAACTGAGAAGCTCTCAGAATCGTGCCACAAAAGGCAGAAGGAACAACACGTGTCAGGCGGCAGAGCAAAGAAAAGCGAAACCCTAACACAGAGGGATTACAAGTAGGGGTGCATTATATGATATTATTCTATATGAATTTTTGGATATCCTAAAATTTCGTATACATAAAATAATGATTCGTATTTGATCTGAAAAAATCGGATATTTGAATATTCGGATCCGAATTCAAATTTTTTTGGCAAAAATTCAAAAAAAAATCAACATAATAAAAACATTAATCAAATAAGAAACATTTAATAGCTCTTATGATTTCCCAATTTAGCAAGATATGGTGAAACTCGGTGCAGCAGACAAACTCCCCATGATTTTGTTTTGCAGTTGAAAATTTTCACCACAATTTCATTGTTTATTTCTTCACTCTTTCCCCATTTTTTGTTGGATGATAGATCATCATGCTTGAATTGATATATATGGAGATTTATCAAGGCTTTTTAATGATAGCGGTGGAGCTATGGGCCACTTGGGTTGATCACTCGTAGTGATAGCGATAAACGTAGTGGTAGTTGACACTTGAGGTCCTGCGGAGGGCATAATCATTTTCCCCCTGTATTTGCCCTTGTGTTGTACAGGCGGAGAGATGCTCGAGAGTTCAAAGGAGGAGTCAAGTGTCCTCTCATTGATGACCTGAGCTTTGTGGTGGGGGTTGTTCATTGTGGTGTTTGTTCAGCAGAGGACTTTGCTCATTTGAAATTTTGAATTAACATGACATGAGAGAGGACCTTCCCCTCTCCGGTGCTGCCCCAAATTTTCAAATTCTTGGCTTTTGAAGTCAAAAAGTTCCGTCATCCTTGTTCTGTGGGGTTTCGTTCAAGGTGGAATTGGATTAGTGAAGCGAACTTCTTGGGGCTTTGTTGACTCATAGCTTTAGCTGTCTGGCAGATCAAGTTTGCAATACTAATATAGCCCAAACAGCTCTGGGCTAATAATATAGTCCAAATTTTTTCGGGTTTTTGGATAATCCGAAATTGGATTTTGATCGATCCGTATTCGATCCGAAAATTCGAAAAAATTCGAATACCCGATCCGAACTATCCGAAAATTGAAAACGGATCGGATATCCAAATTTTCGGATCGGATCAACGGATCAAATTACCTATCTTTGTTATATATAATTTATTTATTAAACAATTTTATTCCATTAATCTTTTTAGTCTCAATTTTTATAAAATTATAATTATAACAAGTTATTTTAATTGTAATTTTTAATTACAATCTATATATTAATTAATAAATATCATGTTAAAATAAGTATATAATTACCTTTGGTAAATTATTCCTAACTTCAAGCCATAAATAAATATATAATTATCTTTAGTAAATTATCACGTACATAAATTTATTGAATGACCTCAGTGATAAAAGCAAGTATTATTTTCAGAGGATTCAAATTTTATTAATAAATTAAGAAATATTTTAAATAAATATTACCTTATAACCACCCAAATATTCAAAGATAAATTTATGACATACGTTGAAATATAGTTTTATTATTTTAAACACAATATTTGTACATCTAATATCATGCTTAAGAGTATACAAAAACATATCAATCCTCTTATCCTCACATAAATATAGTATCCACAAAAAAGCAATATAAATTAAATTAGAATATCAAATGATTTAGTTAAAAAATAACTTTTTATTCATTTAAACATTATTTGATTTTTCTTTCAATAAATAAATAATAAGTATAATAATAAAAATTTTAAGGTATGAAATATACAATTTCATTATTAAAAAATTGAGATTTTAATTTTTAATAAGAATTTTATTTTATTTTGGAAAATATTATATTGATAAAAAATTAAATTAGGTCAAAGTTATATTCTTAGATAAACTATAACCAAATATCCCTTAGGTGTTTGCTTGATATCAATCCTGAATTTGATTTGTAACTATCCTTATCTAAAACGATGTATTAGGTAAATTATAAATTTCATTATTCAACTTTATTCTCATTCTTATTTTAGCCACTAAAGTTTAAAAAATTAATTTACTCACTATACTTTTGATTTGTCCCTATTTTGATCACTCCTTTGTTAAACAGATGATAAGGTCATGACTAGACATTTTCCTTTTAAAAATTATGAGATGAACCTAAAACTAACTTTATTTTTTGTGAAAAACAAATAGTTTTGAATTCCCTTTGATTTCTCAATGATGAAACATCTTTTCCAAATTCCAATGGTTGAGAGGTAGGGAAGGAGGAAGCGAGTTGTATGTCTCAATACCACACTGATTGGATGGTAGATGTCATATACTATAGTGGTTTGAGATTTCATAAGTTTTGGGTTTAAAGTTGATTTTTATGAATTTTAAAGTGATTAAGGTAAAATGCAAATTGATAGAGTGATATAAGAGATAATTAGGTGAGTTTGTCAATATCCTAAGTGATCAGAGATGATGCTAGAGAATGGTAATTGTAGCACCAACGTGACACATGGATAAAATTATAAAAATTTCATCTTTGGAGGATTAAGATAAAATGAAAAAAAAGAAATAAAAAAGAGAAAATAAAATGGATGCCACATGAATTTTATATCAATAAAAAGCAATTCATATTAATATACGTGACTGTCATGTCATCCTTCCATTTATGATATAACAATCGAGTGACTAAATAGAAGTAAATTAGAGGTTCAATGATTAAATTTTAAAAAATTCGTTAGTGACCAAAATAATAGTGAAAAGAAAGTTGATTGATGAAAATTATAATTTAATTATGTATTGTATATTCAAGACGATATCATTCCTCTGGCGTTTGGAATATTCCCTCCCCCACTCCGTTCACCATCCACGTGTCACGTGTGCCTCTCGCTAACCACAGTTTACCATTCCTACGCCATTTCGTCCGTTACAACGATAAACTAATCAATCTTCTCCAAATCCTTTTATCATCAACAACTTGATTCCTTTTAAATCAAACGTGTAGGAAACAACTTTATCCACAAAAACAACAAAACCCCAGTGCTTTCCGCATCAGATAAACCTACCTTTACCTTTTCCCTATATATTTAACATCTCTAAGCTCCGGTTGGTGAATATGATGGTGTTGGATTCTCAACCATGATTAACGTCCCAAAGTTTCTCGGATACTCTTCACTCACTATCATCGAACAACCCATTGCAAAGGACCCTTGACCTTGACTTTTTCTCTCTCTTCTATGATAATTATTATTTTTTCCTTCTTTATTTGTTATAGTGGGAGAAATGGGTAGTGGAGAGAAAAGTTGTAGGAACTTTGTTCATCATCATCAAGGGAAGAAACAAAGGAGGGATGTCCCGAAAGGGTGTTTGGCAATCAAGGTTGGGTCACAAGGAGAGGAGCAACAGAGATTTGTGGTGCCTGTTATGTACTTCAATCACCCTTTGTTCATTCAGCTGTTGAAGAAAGCAGAGGAAGAGTACGGATTCGACCAGAAGGGGACCATCACAATCCCTTGTCATGTGGATGAGTTTAGGAATGTACGGTGCTTGATCGATAGGGAAAAATCCCTTCATCATCACCATAACCATCATATCGGATGTTTTAGGGTTTGATTTATTTCTTTATGGTTTTCTTCTAAGTGTCAAACAAGCGCGGCCAGAAACCATGATCATAATTGTTAGTTTATAATATGATTTTTTCATCTTTTTCTTTTCTTTTCTGGTTTTGTAAATCTGGGAAGCGTTTAATTTATTCTTTGAGTTTGCTTTTTTCGGTTTCATGGTAGGCCCTCAGATGATGCAAGGTGAAACGATAACGGCGACAAATATTGCTTGCGAAATATTGTAATCACTTGGTTATTTTGTTAGCACTTAGCAACCGTAATGGGAAAAAAAAAAGCAAGAAAGCAAATGCATTTTTTTCTTTTATATTAATTTAAAATATAAATGGAACCTAATCTTAGTGATTAAAATTAAAAATTCTTGAATTCAAACAATTACATTTATAGGAGTATATATGGCTAAACTCACGATATAATGCCCTCAAAATAAATAATTCACGAAATAACGTTATCCCAACATTATTTGCTGAAATAGGGCGAAATCAACAGTGTGGCCGTAGGTCGCCATGCCTTCCGGGCGACCTACGACGTGGCTTGCTCTGCATGGGACATGCACAACCCAACCATAGGTCGCCATGCACTCCCAGCGACCTCCTAGGTCGCCATGCACGCCCGGCGACCAAGGAGGTCGCCATGCACTCGGGGCGACCAAGGATTCATGCATGGGGAGATCGTGCCATGCACTCGGGGCTCGGTTCATGCATGGGGCACTCGAGGCGACCAAGGAACGGTTCATGCATGGGACACTCGGGGCCATGGAGTCCCGGCAAGGTCGCGAGCAGGCGAGCATGCAGCAGGGCATGGATGGGCGTGCATGGGCGTGCTCCTTTGGCGAGATGGGCGTGCATGGGCATGGAGGTCGTTGGCTGGTAGGTCGCAGGGCATGCATGGCGACCTACCAGGTCGCTGGGCGTGCATGGCGACCTGGTAGGTCGCCGGGCGTGCATGGCGACCTACCCCCGGTACTGTAGAGGACACCACTTGAGCAATTAATCTTACGATCCCACTATTTCGTGAAAAAAAAAATTTCAACGCACTATCAACGAGATTTTGCCGAGTATATATACGCATTGTTAATATCTAAATAAAGGTGTGGAAATTAGTATGAACCATTGTCTTAGATTTACGAAATATGAAGGCAGTGAGAGTTCTTCGAAATGGGCGAAAGACTGTATCCCTTGCGTTGCATGCAACACGAGTAAGACTTAACTGAGGTTTCTTAAAGAGAAATTCTGACACAAACATAAACGCGTGCAACTGTTCTTTTTCTTAATTTGGACCACATATGAATCGAAAGAGTCAACAAAGTCGGATACTTTTTGTTATTTGTGTTGGCATGTTCATATTGAACTGCCCGTTGATACCGAGGGTTTTTTTTGGGTGGACATGTAGTCTTTATTCACATCGGAAACAGACAAACTGTTTTGTATCATTTTGGAATGTACAGGTTTGTGTAATGTATGCAGAAGATATTTGGATATAATATTTGGTCAAGTGATTAAGGATCCATTAATCGGTCAAGTGATTAAGGATCCTCGTATTATCTCACCTCGTGTACATTTATATCCTCACATTTATTTAGGATATAATATTGTTTTACTTAATTAAAAAAATTTAGATCTTTGGACTTTCAGGTTTGCTTGCTGGCCTACGTAGATCTACCAAATAGGTTATTCTCTCCCTATAGTCTTCTTTACTTTATTTTGATTTACAAAATATTTTTTTATAAATATAAATTTTAAAATATAATATTATTTAATATATTTTATTATTAATACTAAAAAAAATTACAGTATTTGACTTGTAAGCTTTGTCGTGATAGAGGAGGACATTTATCACTATAGAAGCATTTTAAGTGCGTTTCAATACATTTGTCACACTCGTCCCGATAATGCATTCTCAGTCACAAAGTTTCTCAATATAGTAGTAGCTTCAATGTGCATATTGGGTGGCCTCAAAACAAATACTTTGATACTTGCGTAGCACGTTGGTCTATATACTATGGTTATCTCTCAGTAGTCTATACGACAACATTCTCTGGTGGTGATTGGGGCAATGACCCTGATGATAGGATAGGAGATCAGTCTCAGGGCTATTGTGTGTGCGCTAGATTGAAGCTCTAAAAAGCAACGTACAGTTTGCAGGTCTAAAATAGAGACAAGTATCAAAGTCGTGTTGATACCACATGGAAAATAATGTGGGTTAAAGCACTTTTAGCTGAAATAGGTATGCACTTGATGAGGCACCCTTAGTCTGGTGTGATAATACCAATACTATTGTAATGGCTGCAAATCCAGTGTTGTATGCCAAGACTGAACATGACTTGCATTTTATTCGAGAAAATGTTATGGATTTCAGGTGAATTATGTTCCAGGCAGCAAATATTCTCACTAAACCTTCTATATGTTTCTAAAGTTAATGTTTTGGTTAGAACTGTGTATTGAAGTTCGAAGATGTCGTGCTTCAAGAAGGAAAAGGAAGCATGGTGAATATCAACAGTTAAACTGAGGTAGTTAACAGTTATGATGTTAATATGAGTAATTAGGCAGTTTATGAGTTAGTGGGCTTTATGGTTAGGGTTTGTTAGAATTTGGGTATAAGACGTTTGTATTGGTCGGGGCCATGAGTAGGGGTGTAAACGAGCCGAGTCGAGCTCGAGTATTACTAAGCTCGACTCGAACTCGAAAACTATAAATCTAAACTCGACTCAACACGAAAACTCGCGAGCCTAAAATTTTTAAGCTCGACTCAAATTCAAAAAAAAATGTTAAAACTAGACTCGAACTCGAAAAAGCTCAAACTCAAAAAAAATTTAAAAACTCGACTGAAGCTCGAAACTCAAACTCGATTCAAGCTCAATTTTGAGCTCGATTATGAGCTTAACAAGTTTTATTTTCTTTTGTTAAAACCATCTACTTTTATACACTCACTTTACCTCTTATTTCCCAACAACCAACGATGTGGGATATCAAACCAATATTCATCTTCTTTTCTTCTCTTCAACTTTCTCTCTCAACGTTTCTTCAACAAATTCTCTGAACCCAAATCTCACTTCCATACGAAGCTTCTGCAAATCAACTCCATACCCAGGTTCTTGTTTCGATTCACTGAAGCTTTCCATTTCAGTAAACATCAGTCCCAATCCCAACATGCTTTTCTACATCCTTCAAACCCTCAACACTGCATTATCCGAGGCTGTGAAGCTAACAAGTTTATTCTCCAATGGCGGAAATGGAAACGTGATCGTCGAGAAACAAAGAGGAGCATTGCAAGATTGCATGGAACTCCATGAATCAACACTATCTTTGTTGAAAAAAAAACAGTGTCGAGAATCGAAGATGAACACAAGCAAACCTAGTCTATGTTGCTCTAAGCTGAACCGTAATATATAAGGTGTGTGTGCGCGTGTATATATATATATATATTATTGATGTTGCCCTTTGTTTTTGCTGATGCATAGGGAACAAGACGATGATAGAGGAGACGAAGCGTAGTATCCATGATGCACTGTGTGTGGCCAGGAATCTCATTCTCAACAATTCTATTGTCTATGGTGGTGGTTCAGCTGAAGTTTCTTGCTCAATTGCTGTAGAGGCTGCTGCTGATAAGCATCTAGGTGTTGAGCAGGTACAAAGAAGCTCATTTAACCATCTAAAATTTGTACTATTCCTTTTTTGTTGGTCTAATTATATAATCTCGATTTCCTTTTATTTGCAGTATGCAATCCGTGCATTTGCCGATGCTTTAGATTTTGTCCCCATGACCCTGGCCGAGAATAGCGGCCTTCAACCCATTGAGGACGCTATTGTGGTGAAATCTCAGCAAATTAAGGTAAGATGGTAGTAATTAGCATGATGATGGTCGCCAATTTGTATAATCTCATCGGCAACATGCGATTTGCAGGAGAACAACCCTCACTTTGGGATACATTGCAATGATGTGGGAACTAATGATATGCGTGAGCAAAACGTGTTTGAGACTGATTGGGAAGAAGCAGCAGATCTTACTAGCAACACAGGTAGTTAAGATGATTTTGAAAATTGATGATTTCTTTCCATCCGATTTATGAGATTAATCTGGAGCATGTTTTGCTTATAAAATTTTAACTGTCATTCTCTTTGATTTTTGTTGATGTTGATATTGTGCTTATTATAATTTTTCTTTTTCAAATTTCTTTCTTATTGTTAAGCTTTGGAACACTATGTAAAAGGTGAAAATAACAATGCAAATTGATTTTTTATTATTTGCAGTTAAATTTTAATTTTCATTTAAATAAATTGATTTTTGGTTTCATCCAAATGAAGTAAATAGTTATTCGGATATAAATCGGAACATAAAGGTACAATAAAAAATAAGAGATTGAAGCGAAATGGAACGTGCTCTTTAATTTTACTCGTCGTCGAGTCAGTTCTTGAAATATTATGTTAGTGAGTCAGTGCTTGAAAGCAACGACGGTGTCGATAGTCATCAATAAGATATGATAAAATCATGTCTCAATCACCAAGTTGTGTATATTTATTTTGCATGTTGATATGTTTATGTATAAGTACGCGAATGATTTATTTAGGAGTCACATAACATCATTTTGCATAATTTGTATGTTACCTTCATGTGCATAACTTAACCCCTATCACATAATCGGATTTAGGGTTAATTACAAATACATTAATTACTTAATACCGATTTATGAGGTAAGTACAATATAGTATATTGATATTAAATGCATTACAATATGGTTTAGTTGTATTATAGAATTTTTAATATATTTTTAAAATTTTATAATTATCAATAATATATTTTTAATATATTTTTAATAATGTAATTTTAAAAAAACTAAAATTATAATATAACATTTTTTTCGAGCTGCTCACGAGCTTTTCAAGTCGAATATCGAGTAGCTCATTTCGATTCGTTAAGAACTCGAGTCGAGCTCGAGCTCGAGTCGATTCCATTCGATCCGAGTATTTATCGAGCCTTGATCGAGTCGATCTCGAGTAGCTTGTGATCTGTCTCGTCTCATTTACCGCC